TTTATACCAGATGCGTTGTTGAAACTTTAATGCTCATACTTTAGGTATGAAATTAGATTTTCTGTTGTGTTGTTACAACTGTAACACATACATGCAAGCCTAGCCTCTCAGATGAAAATACAAGAATAGTATATTTTCAAGCAAATTAAAGTAGTTTGTAATCAAATTGGCAAACTCATAATAATTCTTGTTCACAAAATATTTTTCATTTTGTGGGAGGAGTGAGCTGATAAAGTTTAGATAAGTTGAATCATAAATGTAATAATGAATGTATAGAATCAGATTTTTTACAATTTGTAAGGGTGGTAGCATGCATACTAATATATAATAACTCAATATGATTAGACTTTTGAGAAATGTTCGTTTCTTTATTAAGAACGTAATAATTAAAAAATAAATGTTAAGTTTATGTGGTGCTTTGACTGGGATTGAATTGATGAGCCACCTGGAAGTACTATGACTATAATTCAGACCCTATAATAGTCTGAAGCTTTTAACTATTTATCTTAAACATTAATTTGATTCTAGAAATACTTCCTTGAAAGAAAAAAAAAACTAGAATTTGCTTGTATTTTTAAGAAAATAGCTCTGATAACTAAACTGTAAACATGCCGCATGAGTATTATTTTGTAGTATCGCAGTTTTACACATTAAGTAGGGTTTTTCAAAAAGGTAGGTTAAAACAATTAACAATTTAAAGGGTTTAACAATACTAACATAGTAAAATTGTTATTGTTAAAAATGTCTCTTACGAGTATGCATTTGTTAAATGCATGCAAATTCATTCTCCTTTACTAATAAGGTGACAATACTAGTATGTTTTAGGGGAGCAAAGTTAACCTGGGTATATTTTGCATTTGATAATTGAACAGTAAAAAAAAAACTAGTTAACTGAGCAAAACTCGTAACATACAATATCAAAAGACAAAATCTCGCCAGACAAAAGAATGGATAAAAATAAATCGCAATATTATTGTTATAGAAGTACGCTTCAGTTGCCAAAATACAGAGCCATTAGTTTAGCTCCATATAATTAAAACTCATAACTTGTTTGGGAGTAAAACAAAGTTGTCTAAGTAGCCGGCACAGTTGTTTAAAAACTAATAAGGAGTTAATCTGAGGAATAAATTATTCTTAGATCCTGGCAACTGCTTAAGTTCTTCTCAAAAGTCTGTTGTTTGGATGTCTTGTGACCTTTAATCCGGCTTGCGCTTATTGCCATTACAAGTCCACTGTGCTCTGGTGATAATATCATTTAAACAATGGTGCCCTTGATTTTATTTTAAAGTGGAAAATTAAAAATTTATATTTCCTTATAGCTACAGTAATATTTCGCAAGTTGTAACACACAAATATCTGCAAATAAATTCCTGCGCTGTTTTTACTTTGTAACACTTGTTCCTTATACTTGTATACACTAGTTGCAACTTGCCGTAACTTTTGCTAGCAACATAAAAACAGAAGCAAATACCTCTTAGAAGCCAGACGAGGTTATGTAAGGTACGAGTAATGAATTCTGCAACAGACACACACACATAATGGTATCTTCCTAGTTAATAACCTTTTCGTCATAAATAATAATGAATTACCGTATTACTAATTTCTTGATTTAAATAACTATTTATTTTGTAGTGAAATCTATGCAAATGTTAATAAATAAATAAAATAAATAAAGCCAATAAACAAAAAAAGTAGTCGGAAATTTCCTTGGATATTTCGTTAGACCTACTCCTTAATACCGATACGTATCAAGGGAAGTACAAAAGGTTTACCCTTTATGCTTAAGTTAGACATTAAAAAGAAATATGCAATTTGTGTGTTATATTTACTGCAACAAATGTTTAATGAGAACTCGTGTGTGGTATCTAGGCATAGGTGAAAGAGTAGACGTTTGCAATATACAAACTATTCCGTACTCACCATTGTATAGAAAATTGTTCTATTTATAGAAACTAATTTAATTCTATAAAGAAATGTATTTTCCTTGCTGAACTCAATGGTGTTTCTGATTATTTATATTTGGTGTCCACTAAATCTCTAGTCATTGTAAGATTTTCATGCTATGTTATGGTTTGACATCACTGGATTTTAAGTAAACTAATATATTACTATAACTCATAAACTTAGCAAGATCTAATTAACATGTTATAATACTTAGATGTTGCACTTTATTGAAGGCATATACTGAGGTATACTTAATATACTAGATGTAAATAGGCTCAGAATATACAGGGTTTAAAATATATAAACAGGAATAATAGATAAATTTCACACCTTTATGTACTGTTTTGTTAACCTTAGTTAAGTGACATATGTCTTAGTTTTGAATTTCAAGATTTTAAATTAAAAATTATCAATGTAAACAAAACTTTACTACAGCCCAATATAAAAATTACACAAACAAATTCCATTCTAACTTATGAGGGACAAATTTATTCCATAGATTGGCACATTATATGATTAAATAAGTCGTCAATCTCGTCAAAATAATACAATTCATTTATCTTATCAGTTTTCAGTAAACAGCTAACAGGTTTGTACGTGTGCTACCTATTTTTGCACAAACGGAATTACCCTAGTAATAATTTCAAAACTTTTCATTCTTTCAATATTTCTTCGTCTCTACAAAGAATGAAACGGGTTAATGTTTAACAGCTAACGTAAGATATTATTAATTCGGTTAAAAAATCCTAAATGTGAAATATTTTATTTTACAGTAAATACCATGTAAACCATGTTTAACAGAAGGCAGTAACAATTATAGTGTACGGTTTAAACAACTTTAAAAGGTAAGGAAATGAAAAAAAGTAACTTCTTGAGTTCGCATTAAGAGACGTGTAAAAGCAATAAGAGTGTACAAACGTTTCTTTTAAAACCTTGGATTGGTTAATCCTAAGAATCCAAACGAGTTTTATACTCTTATAATCGCTTGTGTCATGAGCGTTTTGCTAGCAAACTTTACCCTAAGTCCTGTTTATGGAGTTTCTAGACTACCCTTAAGCACGTGCCGCTCATTTTATGCGATGTTTTAGCTCCTAATGACCGTGCAATAGTTATTTTACTTAAACCAGGTTTAATTGTCCCAAAAGATTTTAGTTTAACCTTAGATCGCAAAGAATACGTGAGCCATATACAAGCCATATAAAGTGATATATTTATTACACAGAATTGATGTTTTTGTATTAATTTAAATTCATAATCAAATGCAATATTTGAAATATTTGGGATTTATTTAGTTTGCATATACGTGCAGATCTCTTGGTTACTGCTATCCATTACGGGAGGTATGAGTGTATAGAAACATTTTATATGTGAGCCAGACGGAGCTACAACGATGACAGTAAACTTCGACATAGCTTTTATTATTACAAAAAATGAAGCCCTTATACTTGTTTGACTGGTATGTTGCTTACATAGAATAAATTCATTGGCATAGCGAACTTAAATATGAATTTGATCTCAAAATGGGATTTTATCCATATTTCTAATAAAATACTGGATAAAACTATCAATTAGCTAGCAAATTATACATACCTATGTAAAGTTTCCTCTTCCATTGGGTCATTTTAATAAAAAAATTAAGAGGAACTTTTAGCCTTTAAACTAGACTGGGTTGTGAAGTATAACAGAAAACTATATATTGCAATGGTAAATCAACTATAAAAATTGTCGCATATTCAGGGTATATATATATTTAGTAACTTTAATAAATATATTTTCAAAGTATATCTATTATCTTTGTATATCTATAATGGGAGCATAATTGGCAACAAAAACAACAGCATGAAAATAATGTATTGGTAAAATACCAAAAAGTGAAGACTTCTAGGATAATCTCCAACAGCTAAATACACAAATAATGTTTTTAAATTTCTTATTTTTTAAATATAAACGATAAACTGTTACTTTAATTCATAGGAAACTTGAACAATTCAAATGTTTTACAGGTCTGATTACTTTACAATACCATAAAAAATTTAGTAATTAGACTGCACTAACCATGACCAAATATTAAACTCTAAAAATAGTTTTTCATAAAATGAGATAATTCATATCTGTATATAAAACACATTTCTGTGAATTTAGCAAAACATGTGTGCAGAGACGGAGTAGCTAAAACCACAAACGTCGTTCCAATTGATCTCTTAATTTGACAATTAAACATTCAGAAATGTATTCATCAGCCTGGTAAATAATTTGTTTCTTACGCAAATTCTGCCGGTTTAATAAAGGACTTAATATAAAGTCTGTGCAAGTAAATAATCGCGTACTCTTGACAGTATTGTTTAAACGCGACTGCCGGTCGCGCCGTGAGGGGGCTGCTACGTGATGGTGGGGGCATGTTTGGGGGTAGAGTACGTGGGGGGGGGGTGCTTAGTGAGGCAGACTCCAGCTCTAAATAGATTTACTGCTTTTCCCAAGAAAGTTGCCAGTATTAAACCGTGCATTGCCAATAGCTACTTCTTCCTTTTCTTTATAAACGGCACCTCCTAGCCGAGCTTATACGTAAAGGGGGTTTTGCAATATTGACACATCACTTGGATTTTATCCATGTATTAACCGAGCTAAACATTGCCACTACCACTGTGACAGTTCTTTCCATTATACTACAGTCGTGGTTATAATAACACTAGTTGTTTACATCCCTTTTCATATATAGAACACTTCTCTTTTTCATTTGTTTAGATATCATTTTACATTACAATAAGCTAGATTACTTTGCTAAAAAAATACTACCCTGAAACACCTTTTAATGAATCTTAATTACTCATAATTATAGGTATTGAATTAAAATATAATTTTTCTATTTTCCATACTACTTACTTCATTTCATTTCATTCATCGTAGCCAAAATAGACCGATTTCCAGCTAAATGATTATCAACCATATACTATCAATAAATATTTAACTAGAATTACCACTCAAGTCAATTATAGTTCCAAACACAACCGTCTGCTAAGCGTGTGCCGTCACCACTAATGAGTTTTCTTCTTTTTCAGGAACGTTCTTTTATAGTAGTCTTTCTGATAGGCCTATACCTCTGTGTGTCTTCAAACTTTTATACTTTGTGAAGTTTTCGGTGCTATAGTAGTAGTTAGTGCTATATAGTGCCGTAGTGTTGGTTGGTTTGGTGAAGTGTTTTGTTACTCGGAGTACATTCAAGCCGCCAAAATTGAGGCGTACATTCAGCCGGGGGCGCCGGACACGCTCTACGATCCGGAAGGTAAGTTTACATTGTTAAGTGAAGATCAATACACTTTATATAGTATAAGATGTATGAGACGGAGAGGAAAATCAATGCTCACATGTGATTATGAGATAAACAGTTTTATAATGTTGAGAAGAGTTAAATGTTAGCACATATAGCGGAGTGAAATTTAAATGCTTACTTTTAGTCTTTACGTAATTACTACAACGAGAAGTGCAAAGGTTGATGTATTAAATGAGGCAAATCAATTTGTATTGTTGGGGGAGGATAAGCATGCAAACCTTATAGAGTAGAAGCAGTAGATAGAGTGAAACATCAATGCTCACTCTTTGTCAATTATACATATTTAATCATATATGTTACAATAGAGGGATACACCGCTACGTATTCAATTGAGACGATTGTAAACAAACAAGAAATTAGGGATTATTTTACATATAATGAAACTTTATAAATAAAACAATAATTTTGAAAATCTGCAAATGTTTTACAGACAACAAATTTATTGTGATATGTTAATTTATAATAATTAACTACTACTATATTATTCGGTAGATTGCCAATTCAATACGGAGGAATGCCAGTGAATATCTGTCCTTAACCATTAGAATGTAAATATTGGTCTTGGATAAAACGAAAAATAGCTTGTCCCAGTCGGTAACAAATATACAAGGTTTCGCAATCCAGGCTGTATCCATCCTCCACTTATAATCATATAAAAATACACCACATTATATTCCAGTCTCAACTATAGTTATATAGATATTTTTGATATATCGATATCTGTATAGAGGGTTTAACATTACTTCTGTATAGTGAGTTTAAAATGGTTCCTTCTTTACTTTATCTATGGTTTTAACACATAAGTCAACTACTCAATATTGTTGACTGAATTTAAAGTGGTAATAGGTAGTACTACTATAGTACTGATTGTCCTATTACAAATATAGACGTCATTTATAGGCTACCATTAGAATGGATTGGAATAGAATGGATGTAATAGTAACCATAAAAATGTGATTCGGATTCAACTATAAACTGTAGGTCCCTTATTAGCCATTAGCTGTATGGGCTATTAATAATTATTAACAGCTGTGTCTAAGGAATAAGTCGGCCTTAGTCACTAACAAGACTACAAGATCACGCCACTCATCCTACACTCAACTTCATTCATATTTGGGTTAAAATACCTACTTTCTATGGTCGCCATTTCATTGAAAAGTATTAAAGTATTAAGTTATAAAATTTAAAGATGGACTTATATGTAACTTTTTACAGAGAGTATATACGAGTACGTTTAATAACAATTTAAACATATAATTTACACTTGTACAGTAACTTTTTACATAAAACATGATACCGTTATCAGTTTACATTATTTCCTACTTATTTGTTGATGCTATCTTGGGGAAAATTAAAATAAAATATCTGATAACCAGAAAATCAAGTTTTGGAAACCCAAAAATATATAATGTATGTAAAATGTGTTCTTGATTTGAAAACATAAATCGTATATAAAAGCTGCTTATAAATCCATCGCTAGTTACGGTATTAATAAGATTTACAGCATTAAAAAACCTATTTTGGTCGTAGCTAAGGCAGTATAGCCATTCCGAGCCTGAGAAAGACGACTTCGGAGTTTAAAACACGTACACCGTTTGATTGCATAAGTTATAGTAAGCCTACGTGATATCTATGCTATATAGCCAGGCCCACTTCTCCATCCATCTTGGAATTTAATCTCAACTGGTATAAAAAATGTTACCTTAAAAGTGGGCATTATGGAAATAATAAACCTGTCCTTGAATAAAAACAGACATATAATTTAGACAATGTCCAAAATGTAATAAAGAAAATACGAGCATTGTCTGTGAATAATTAAGGTCTCCACGGAGTTTCGGTCAGAACTAATCAAGCTAGTTCAAATCTGAGACGAACTTAGATTTTCTTTCTCTATTCCCTCCATTCTAGCTTGTTACCACCCTTAGGAGACTGTAATCTGGTCATAGTATTGGAAAACTATGTGAAAGAAAATTTACGCTGTTGCCCAGTATGAATCACTATCTGTGGTTAGGTTTCTATAGAAGGGGGGGGGGGGTTCTATTCCTGGTGATTCATGTGGCCAGTTGACAGATTGGTATGCAGAAAAGTAGTCCGACGTGGTAAATGTGCATTAGTGGGTTGGCGAGTGCGTAGAAGCCCATACATATTTGCAAAACAATACCAGAATCGAGTGTCCATCAGTTTCCATCATGACAATGATGGAATTTGAGAAAATTTATCTTGTAGATATGTGCGATTAAGACTTTAGGGTTAACTGTAGGTTTTTCATAGTCTTACATAGTCGTCCCATTTCGGAAATTGCTATAGTTCTGGCACGCCATAATCCGCATGCAAAATTACCGTAATTTTGGGCAAATTAGACTGATCCACAAGAGCCATCACCATGGATAATATCGTGGAAATGTTAAATATTGTATCAAAAACTGCATTTACTCTTCGCATATTTTCTACGTCTAAATAATCAACCACATTCATGTCTGTCAGCTGGTGATTTACAATAGCATTTGACGACTGAGAGCGCAGAATCTTAAAAAAAATCTAATACTTTGGCAAGACTAATCGTTCCACAAGGGTGGTAACCGTAGTAGATGAAGTAAAGAACAAAATCTTGGCCTCAGATTTAAACTTGGCTGTGACGGAGCTCCATGGAGACCAAAATTTTACGGATAGCCTTCTAGTGTCATAATTGATAAACTGCAAATAATCAATACACACATCCCTAGTATATTACTTTATATCAAGAAGTTGTAAATTATTCAAGAGGTTAGTGTTCTTATTTAACCTTGAATTTTCTGACCAAGTGAGCTTCGGACCTGTTTGTGGTATCAAAGCAAGGGATGAGCCGGTAAAGTAGAATGATAGGACAATTAAATGTTCTTGTAGAGACAATATTTAGTTGGCCAATTTTAGTCAAGTCGGTTGCGTTAGTTTGAAATATCTATGTACAAAAAAGTTTTAACTATACGATTCACCCATTGAAATTACTAATAAAAAATAGACATTACAAACGTAAATTGTATACAATCTAGAACCCGTAATTATATCCAAATACGTTATTATTAAGGACCGAGTATAGGATTCACACAGCCACTATTTACACAACGGTTAGGTTAAGGAAATTGGAGTTCAGGTAGAAAACGTAAACACCATTCCAAAAATAGCAATAATTTATAAAACATTGAATTCACATTTTTAACTGCCTTGGCAAATTTTAATTCTCTATATGACAATGCAGTGTAGTTGTCCAACCTATATGTATGTTTAATATATTTCAAACATTTTATTTAGATTTTTCAATACAATTATTTATTGGAGTTCGATTAAAGAATCACCACATGGCCACTAGATGGGTATAAAGATAAGAGAGAGTTAGATTGACATGGGCGAGCAACGCGGCGCCGATGGTTTATGGGGACAACTACCAATTTCGTCAACGGTTGTATTAGGGTCGCCCCAACAAAATTGCTGAACATTGATTTTATCATTGTGCAAACGTAAAATGTCGTCAATAAAATTTTGATTTGACTGGTGATTAAAATTGTTTTTGGAATTGCAATTGTTTTTGAAATTGCGATGATTATATTGTTTATGTTTTAATAGTGTTGATTGTTTATGCTTTTGTGGCAATGGAAATTGTATATTATGGTTTTGGAAAAATAAACGTTATACTGATTAAAATAAATATTATTAATTGTAAACACAATTTGAAAGTAATGATAAAATGTCAATAATTGTTGTATTCATTTCTGACCATTCACATTTAACAATGGTGATTATTTCTTATTATTGGCTCAAATCGTGCTAAATGTGTACGGAAACTGGATTAACTATTTTCTCATGTTAACTGAGCTGGGTGCTTTATAAATAGAATAGAATAGAATAGACTTTACTTTATTACTATTAAATAATAGTAATACTACACATGTTTAAACCCTTAGACCAACAACACTAATGTTTAAGAATTAATCAAACCATTGGTGTTTTTTTAAGGGAGCTACTGAATATATTGTAGACATTTTACCAATCCGCATGTGCGCCTGCAGATTTTTGGTTTTTAGAAGGACGAGAAATATTGAGTACATTTTAATACACTTAACCTGAGGTGAGGTTTAATGTACTTAGAAGTATTACAAATATAAATGACACAATCTTATAGTAACAGACATTTCAGTTTCTTCCAATAGCTTTTAAGTTGACAATGGTCTATGTGTTCGCTGGTCTATACATTGTGATAAGCATTAGGCCTATACATTAGCTATTGATATATGCATAGATAGTTTATACGTATAAGACTAGGAAAAAGGTTATATGAAAAAAACTTTGAATTAATTACTTTGACTGTTGCTTGATGCTTGTTAAAAAAGTAAAAACGTGATATACAATTTAAAATGATAAGAACACAACAAAACCAACGAGTAAAATGATTAAAACAAATCGAAACGTTTTTTGTTACAATGTAATACCATTCCCTCTTTCCTCTTGATTAATTTTACTTTACAAGAATGTTACAAGTTTTCCGGGGCATGACCAATTTTGTAAATGTTTATGAAATAATTGATTTCCTTTGTTACTGAAATTATGCGATATCTAAATGTGATACTGAATGAAATATTGAGACTTAATTAAAATAATTGCACGGTAAAATAATGCTTCAATACACTAATTATATTTATTTTGGGTTACTTTCTTGTATGTTACTGTCCGATTTAAGTGTTCCATGATTTTTGTTTTGAAGCCCGCATCCCTTACGCCAAATGTTGAACACCCCCATGACAATTGTCTTAGTTCCTTTGTGTAGACATTTTTAAAGATTCTTACTTTAACCCGAGAGTTCCAGGCACTCAATTGAATTTCTTTTTTTTTATTTTGGTTAAGGTATTTAAGTGTAAGAATAAAAGATGTTGACCAAGTGGTTGATGGTACAGTTGAATCACCAGTCAGATTGAAACAAA